TGTGACCTATCTACAAAAAATAAATGAGCCAAATTACTTGAATATATGCAGTGTAGAATTGAAGATATAATTATTCTGGATGGGTTTGCTGATACAGCATTGGGATATCTTGTTATAAATAAAGCACTAAATGAGACATTAGGATGGAATCTTGGGATGGCACCAAATTTTTCCTTTAGATATAATTCTGATCATATAACAAAAGTAGGAGGACATAAGAATGTACTAATATCTATAAAATATAAAAATAAATGGGTTACTGAAACAGAACATGTTGTTGTTATTGATAATAGAAAACCTGATTACCTTCTTTGTTTAGAAATACCATGGATTTGAAAAGTTCAAGGAATTTTAGATACAAACAAATATGAATTTCGAATGATAGTTTGTGGAAAATCTTATATTATTCCAACCTTTACTAAGCCAATCAAGGATAATATTTCATCAAGCCTTTATACAACAGTGATTTAGGATAATAATTCAAAAAATCAAACTTTTAATTCTTCTACCAAGATCGATACTAAAGAGAAGCCAGCATCTAATGAGGAAAAAGAGTTCCAAGTCTCTGATTCTTTTACAAAGATCTAAAAAAAAAACATAATAGATTCTAACAAACAAATCGATTTCTTTCTCAGACTAGAATTTCATTTCAAGATTCAAATCATATCAGATATGAAAAATCTAAAAAATAAAGCAACTATTAAAAAGGAATTTATTAAAGCTCTTAATTACGCAGAATATCTTGAAAAGGAATTGATATGATTTCAAGATTTAGCTTGAAGCTGTTTTTTATATTCTCGCAAAATTTTCATTCTAGCTTGCACATCACTTCCTGGTATTGATAAGATAGAATAATTTATAGTTTTTGATTCTGATCGATCTCCACCTTTAGATAATTTTACACCAAAGTTTGTTTTATCAATATTAGAACTGGGAAGTTCCTCATTCTTAGTCTTTTTTGTTGCTAGTTTGCTCAAAGAAATTACTTGCTCAGGATTTCTAGCACTTGATAAGCTATGTATAGGCAAGATTTCTAGTTAAGATATTGAGATAAATGAATTTATAGATGTTATTTCTATTTTAGATGGTTGAGAATATATCCAGCCATTTACAATATTATCATATCTTTCACTACCAATTCTATAATTACCACACATAATGCATTTTCTATTTGGTATCTGTTTTGCTAATAAAGACTGGTATTCAGTTTTTTGTTGTG